CCACCCGACCTCTGCAGCTCATCCAGAATGCAGCGGCTCTTCTGGTCTTCAACCTTCCTAAATGTTCCCACACCACGCCGCTCCTCCACTCCCTTCACTGGCTTCCAGTAACTGCTAGAATCCACTTCAAGACACTGGTACTTGCGTACCATGCTGCGAATGGATCTGGCCCTTCCTACATCCAGGACATGGTTAAACCGTACATCCCAGCACGTGCACTCCACTCTGCATCAGCTCGCTGCACCCGCACTGCGAGGGGGACCCAACCCTAACACGTGGGTTTGCTATCCTGGCTCCAAAATGGTGGAATGAGCTCCCATTGAAATCAGGACAGCAGATAGGTTGCACATCTTCCGGGGGAGACTGAAAACTCATCTTTTCGACTCCACTTCGATCGATAGAGTTACTAACAAATAATTACTAACAAAGCGCTTATATATACTAATAAAGGGTTGAGTAGCACTTGAACTGTTTTAGCTCTATGAAACCTGATGTACTTATATGATTCTGTTTTCTTCAAGTTTGTATCTTGTTGGTCGAACGCACTTATTGTAAGTCGATTTGGATAAAAGCGTCAGCTAAATGCAATGTAATGTAATGTAACATGCCATCACTTGACCCTCTGTCTACCCGCAGGAAACTCACTGGTGACATGTTTTCCAGGCTTAGTCATTGGGTGTGATAGGTGATGGAAAGAAATGCAATAACCGAGTACAGATACGCATCGTGTCTCATAGTACATTGCACTTTGCTCTCTGAGAAACCAAAACAGACATCTGCTCAAAAAAAGTCACCTCAGCATCTCTCTAATTTTCTATTGGATCCATGGCTGGTCCAAAACTGCTAAAACGTCTGAACTAGGTCAATCTGGAGTTTCAGCTGGTTTTTCCTGGTTTCGAAAGGATGTGTTATGTACAATTCAATGTGTGAGACACCCGACCTGCGTCAGGTGCAAATTCTTTCAAAACAAAGGAAAAAAAACGAAACCGAAACAATGTAAAAACATTTATAGTTGCAGGTCTGCACCCAAAACACTTAAATGTAGATAACACCAGACAGGATTCAACAACTACTGACACGTTAAGGTAACATGTCTCTAAATTCACAAGTGATTAGTGATTGTGAACTAATTTTAGCCGCTTATTTTCCCCAAGAAACGTTGGTCAAATTCTATTGCCCAAGTAGTGAAAAAGAAACTTGAAAAAATAATTTTCTTTCAATTTCAGAGTCATTACTTGAGGTAAACATCACCACTTATTTTCACGGACATTTCAGCTGAGGTAAGAAGTTTTATTATATTTTTTAATATAATATAAATGATATAAATGTTTGAGGATGTCCTAAGGGTGGAAGAAAACAATTAAGGAAATGCAGTCTAACCAATGCAATATCCAACCAATGCTCTCACATTGGCTTAATGCAAGTACTGTAAGGTAAATGTTGTGTAGCAGGGCAATTTTACTTTTTTTCAATTGTATGTAAAACATGTAAACTCTTCCAGCTTCTTTTTAGTTTATCTATGTGCTTTTCACTTAAAAACACATAGTTCATATATTCTCTGCAAACGTATTTACATATTCATAAATAATTAATCATTTGCTTGTGCAGCACACTTGAGTCAGTTCTTCTGTGAAAGGTTGCAAGACATCTGAATTTACAAATAAATAATGTGAAATATTCTGACTCAAATATCGTGTTGATAAGGTTTCTACAGCAATATCTCGTTGAAGTCATGAGTTATTTTTACAAACCTTCTTCTCCGAAAGGTAATATACTCCAAATATTTCAGAACATTGCTTAAAATCATAAATAAAAAGAATCCTTTCTTTGTTTGTTTAATGTTTCCTAAAAATGGAACTCGTGTATAACTGCAACATCTGTACTTTACTTTTCAGTTTTACCTAAAGAATGGAGGAGCATGCCTTGGGGGTGAGAGATTATTTAATGTGTGGTGTCTCTTTTGTTTAGTGCCTTTATTCAACTAACCATTTTTTTATGTAAAACTATGAACCTGCAATTTCCCTTGTTGATACTGACCTTTGTTTTGCCATATTGTATTTGTTGGCAGTTTTTTCAGCTACATGGTGGTTGAAAATCTCGGGTATCTGTTACACCATATGCAAAACTGATAATAATATTAAAGTAACATTTGATCTAATCTTAATCTAAAATTGTTTTTATCGATCAGAGACAAAGAACGAGACTTAAAGTTTGTGAAGGAATATCAGCCTCATGATAAGGAGGTCCAGCTCAGATTTATGCTTTATGGACCTTCTGTTGCTGGCAAGTCCAGCTTCATCAACTCTGTGGAAAGTGCTTTACGAGGTGAAATATCTGATCGAGCTAAAACAGATGCAATCTCTTACGGGAGCTTCACCACAGAAGTATGAATCATGAATGTCATACATTATAAAAACATTTCTTTAAAAAGTTATTTTTTTATGTTGTTGAGTTTTACAAATTCTGTAGTGTATAGTTTCTCATTACAAGCCATGTTCATTTTTAACAGTACAAAGCATACCAAATCCAAAAAAGGAGGACCAGGGACATATTACCCTTTTGTCTTCAATGACGTCATCGAGAAGGATGCAGAAAGAGGAGCTTGTGTAGAAGACGTCAAACTGGCCATGAAGGGACACGTGAAGAATGGTTACAAGGTACAACTGAATTCATTACACTTTTTCCTATGTTGCAAATGTGTTAGAAATGCAATCCAATGTTCTGATTCTACTAGCACAATTTCATTCACATGAAATATAGAAAACTAACAAGGCTATATAAGAAAACAACTGTACTGTGCTACTACTTTGCATGCCAAATTATTTTCTTGTTTACTTTTACATTGTTTTCCAGTTCAATCCTTTCTCTGCCTTGTCTGAGGATAAACACGACTACAACAGTGACCCCTCTCTAAATGACAGAGTTCATGTTCTGGTTTGCATCATCTCCGCCAACACAGCACAATTCCTGACTGGTGATTTCGTGAAAAAACTGAGGGAAGTCAGACTTGCAGCCAGAAACATGGGTAAGAGCTTGGCTTTTACAATAATGAATGTTATCAAAATAAAATAACCATACCAACATTATTTTTCTTTGAATCTTGATTCTGCTCTGTATTGGCAGGGATTCCCGAAATTGCTATTCTCACCAAAATTGATGAAGCCTGTCCAGAGGTCGACAAGGAAATACAGAACGTGTATAAGAGCAAGTACCTGAAGAAAAAGTTTATATCTGTAATTCAGTTTTTAGGGAGCTGTAATTAAGGTTGGAATTTCATTTTGTTTTACACTGTTATATTTTAACAGAAAATGTTCCTTTGATCAGCACTTTCATTTATTAAATGTCAAATTGTAATATGTAGATTGAAGAGTTGAGTGCCGTGCTGGGTTTCCCACCAAGCTGCATCTTTCCTGTGAAGAACTACCACTCAGAGATCGAGACAAATGATGACACTAATACACTGATACTGAGCGCACTGAGACGGATCATTAAATCTGGAGAAGAGTTTGTCAACCATCTGTAAAACTACATTCTGCTGAGGCAGATCTTGTTGTTATAACAACATGTAACAAGTCTGTCTGGAATGATAATTACATAAAGTGGGCAATCTAGCTTTAAGGTTTTCATTTGCAGCCTGTAATGCACCATATCTATACCACTACATTGCTGAGTAAAGTATGAAAAGGCTTTCTTTCTCATGTATTTGAGTCTTTACATTATGATGTTTTTAGGCCAATCTTGTTTTTATATCACCATGTGAAATGTCAGTGGGGGAACAGGAATGATAATTACATGAAGTGTGCAATATGGTTTTTAGGTTTTCATTTGTAGTCTGGTATGCATTGTATATAAGGGATAATGTGCAACGAGGCGAATATGAATTTGCTTTTGCTTCCACTAAGAAAAAATAGTCCGTTCCACAACGTAGACTTTACCAACAGCTGAGACTGACCCAACAACAACGTAACTTAAAATGACGGCGTCACTAATCAAGGTTTTCTGTCACCGTCCAAGTTTTTTTTTCCATTAACAAATGTTTAAAAAATGCCAGAGTTTCAGTGTCAGCCTGCTGCCTGGCACTCGTTCACCAGCAGACTGACCGTACATCAATCCTCTGTTTGTTTGAATTAAACCATAAATCGAAGGCGAACATCTACAATAACATTGTTTAATTGTTTCCCTCTCTGAACATCATGTGACAACCCTGTGGTTGTCCATCAGGTGGTGCTGTTGTAACCTGTTTGTTTGTTGTAATCAGCAGTGATGGGACACACCTGTGACCCTTGATTCCCTTGAGGGCTGCAGAACAGGCTCTTGCTCTCTCTCAGCTGCCCTGCTCGGTGCAGCAGGACACCGCTCTTCTGTTTGTTTTATTGTTGGTTGTAGACACTGTTAGTTAAAATAAATGATTGTTTTGGGCAACTCCTGTGTGGAACTGTTGTCCTTGTGTTACAAGCAGAGCTAGCTTGTAACATATGGGGGCTCGTCCGATCCAAGAACCAGGTTGATAGTTGTTTACTTGATTTGTTTGCCTTGATTGTGTAGACAGTTTGTTCCTGGTGTAGGGCATTAAGGAGTAGCTTTGGAATTACCTTTCCTGATAGGCATAAGCAACATCTCCTTCAGGGAAGCTTGTTGGTTTGTTGCTTTTGTTTGTTATTTTTGTGCATAAACATGATTCAACATTATTTTGTCATGGATACACGTCCGTGGCTGTCTTGGTGAGTAACAGCTTCGCTGGGGCTTTACCGGGTCATTGGGTAAGTGTTTAAAACACCTGTCGTAGCATGCATGAAGACTAGGGTGAGACAAGATAGCTAGTATTGGGTAGGCAGATAGCCAGGGGAGAGGTATTCCAGAGTGAAACAAAAAAAAAATATATTTTTTTAGGTGTGTGCACCAGGTTCAAGGGAGTTTGCATAATCATGGCTATATTGACAGATTTTGTTAAGTGTCCCAGTGTGGAACTGCTGGAAAAATGTACTAAAGACCAACTGTTAAAAATTGCAGAGCATTTTGAGGTAGACGTTCCAAAGCAGGGTCGTAAAGACACCATAGTGACTATGTTACAGACCCAGTTGGTACTGCAAGAAGTTCTGCCAGCAGTGGCTGTCGATGATGGTTCCGAGGAGGAGTTGGCTGAGAAGGCAGCTATAAATCCAGAGCGGCAGAGAAGTGCAGGTTTGACTTTGGTGAAATTACATTTGAACAGAGAAAGGAAATAATGCTGCTGCAGTACCAACAAGACCGGGCTAGAGCTCGTGAACAGGAAACTGAGATGGAGCGTTTAAGGTTAACTACAGTGGTGCGGGAAGCTGAATTGCAACAAGAGCGTTACAAGTTGGACCTCATCCAAGAGGGTAAGCTTTCTTCTGGGGTGTCCCCAGCTACTTTTGATGTAGCTTATAACTTGAGGTTGTTACAAAAATTCGAGGAGAAGACTGTAGATTTTTTTTTTAACTTTTTGAGCGACTTAGCCAAAGACGACAGTGGTCTGATTCAGAGAAAACATTGCTGTTACAGTGTGTGTGTTAACTGGTAGGGCTCAAGAAGCATTTTCTGCATTAAGTATGGCTGACAGTGAAGATTACTTAAGGGTAAAGACTGCAGTGCTAAAAGCTTATGAGTTGGTGCCTGAGGCCTACCGTCAGCAGTTAAGGAAGTCAGAAGGACAGACCTATGTGGAACTTGTTCGGGAGCTGACGATGAAATTGAATCGGTGGGTCACGGCTTCTGAAGTAGTAAATCTTAATGATTTGAGGGAACTGTTCCTCCTTGAACAATTTAAAGATATCCTTCCAGAACGCGTTGCTACGTACCTGAATGAGCATAAGGTTAAAAATGTAACAGATGCCGGGGTGTTAGCTGATGAATACACGTTAACACACAAGTTTCATTCAGGGGAGAGATTTGACTGGGGGTGCAGAAATAACTGGTCTGGTGACCCCAGAGGTGAAGTGTTAAGGTCGGAGCAAAGGGCCGTGCATGACTGGAGGGATAAAACTGATCTAAGTACTTGCCACTTTTGTTTGGGTAAAGGTCACTGGGAAAAGGAATGCCCAGTACTTGTAAAAACCCTGTGGTTGTCCATCAGGTGGTGGTCCATCAGTGGTGCTGTTGTAACCTGTGTGTTTGTTGTAATCAGCAGTGATGGGACCCACCTGTGGCCCTTGATTCCAGGATATAAGAGGGCTGCAGAACAGGCTCTCGCTCTCTCTCAGCTGCCTTGCTCGGTGCAGCAGGACACCGCTCTTCTGTTTGTTTTATTGTTGGTTGTAGACACTGTTAGGTAAAATAAATGATTGTTTTGGGCAACTCCTGTGTGGAACTGTTGTCCTTGTTACAAGCAGAGCCAGCTTGTAACAATCATAATTGGGCTCATTATAGATTAAAAAGGCTGTTATATATTGTTCTATATGATTGGCAAAAAACTTCAGAATCTGTATTTACTGCCCGCCATTGAAATGACAGCAAGTGTTTTCACCATAGGTTTTCACCCAAGAGGGGCATGGCCTTGTGAAGCGGGAAAATACCCCGATGCGTTGAGTGTTCCGTGTTAACGTCCTGTCTTGTGTTGATTTCCCTGACGTTCATCTTAAACCTTTCCTTCTCCTGCACTTTTTTCCATTTGTTTTATGAGGACAGTTTAGCCATCATGAATCCAAAGTTTCATGCCCTAACAAAATATTAAAGTCACAAGTGAATATTCAAAAAGTATTCCATAGTGTTTTTCTGATGGAGAAAAATAACGTGTTGTTGTCCAAAACTAATGTTCAATCGACCGGACTTCTTTCTGCAAATTGATATTATAGTCCCTTGATTTTCCTTACTTAGCAACGGTCATGTTATTCTTAGCAGCGGTTAGCGATATACGACCTCTGAAATGTCCAAATTGCCCCGTAGAGTTTTGTTGATTCAGGTGTTAATTTGTCTTTCTGTCTCCAGGTTATAGATAATCTGTACATTAGTAGGTAAAATACTTAATTTCGTTGGAAAGTAAAATGGTTTTAGTCTAATAATTTCATATGCCGACCCGTACCTGTCACTGATTGCAAAGTTTTTGGCTTTGGTTTTTGGTGTACATTAAACATGTTACTACAGTACTGTTCTGCAGGTAAAACCACATAAAGAAAATAATGAATTTGTCGTCGGTCTCCGTTTATTTATTTATTTGTATTTTTACACACACTTTACTAAGCAGTAATTTGTTTGTAATTTTGAAAGAGAGGACATTTGAAGGTATGTATCCATGAAAATAAAAAATAGGCCTATGCAAAGCTTCAGGGTAAAGGTGCCCCATTTGAGTATAGGATTGTAAAATAATATACTGTTGAAATTAATGTATTTGAAAAATAAAAAAGATCACGTTTGTGCCAAATAATAATTACGTTAGCATGACGTAACGTCGTCACATGATCTGTTCAACGACTCAGCTGTTGTGATGGTGGCTTCAAGAACCGTTGGAAATCTTGCTACCTAGATGAAAAATATACGAGTTTCCAACAAGGAACAGCTCTTGATTCTTTATAAGATCCCAACTGATGTTATGCATATGTTATCCTGTGTAAAATTATAAATGCATTGTGAAATATCAGGCTACTTATACTTATTTAATTTTTTTCGGACAAATCTCCTGTTTGTTTTGTTACTGTTGCACCAAAAATCGTGATGATTACAACATTACTATTAAATATTAGCATAAGATTTGTTTATTTTACCACAAGAATATAATAAAAGATGTATATTTAACTTTAGAGCTTTATAATTTGACGTGTGATATCGGTTTTCCAGTAGAACTGTGAAGTAAAAGCTTTTGAGGAGCATTTGAAAGCAGCATGGGACAAGTGAGGGGAAAATAGGAAGGAATCCACGTAGCCTATTTTACATCGTCCAGCCGTGTATATGTCCTCAATTTGTATTTAAAGAAACGCTGCTTTCAATAAGGCGGATAACATTATTCATAGTGGCGGGGTAAGGCGGAATAGCCCATATTGGTCCAGTTTGCTGAAAAGGAGAGGACTAAAATGGAGCTGGAAGACGGAGTTGTGTACCAGGACGACCCGGGGACATCAGCGGTGATGTCTGAGCGGGTGTCGGGCCTGGCCAACTCCATCTACCGCGAGTTCGAGAGGCTCATCGGTAAATACGACGAGGACGTGGTGAAGGAGCTGATGCCGCTGGTGGTGGCCGTGCTGGAGAACCTGGACTCGGTGTTCGCGGAGAACCAGGAGCACGAAGTGGACCTGGAGCTGTTGAAGGAGGACAACGAGCAGCTCATCACACAGTACGAGCGGGAGAAAGCGCTGAGGAAACATGCAGAGGAGGTGAGTTGAATGGAGCTGGGGAAAAACGACCCTTAAGGGGGGGAAACTGGGGCTGCTTCAGGTGTTTGTCCCTCCCTGCATCCCTGGATTAATTCACCGTATACACGTGGCCTGGCAGCATCCCCACCGTCCTGACACGGTGATGTAAACAAGGCAGTGTCATGGCTAGCTTAAATGGCCCCGTCTTTGTATTAGCTCTGTGTCATAGTGGGATGGGAGTTCTTTCTTCCGGACAAGTTACACAAGTGTTTTTCTAACAAGATAATCCCCTCTCTGTCAAATATATCTTTAACTACCAGCTCGCATTTTGCATCAGAGAGTGAAGTAAAGCCTGTGAGAACCTGGCAACTGCAGATGATGTGACTCAGCTTTTTGGAGCATTTCAGTCTCATAAGTTAAAAAAACATACGGGGACAAGATGACAGACAGACAAGCAGTCACAATGATGTGAGATTTGCTTATAATAGGAAGTGCTTCACCCAAGCTATGCCCTTATGATGAGCATAACCTCCACGACCATCACACTGCACTCCTAGCAGGTCACCATGTCCACTCTTCATCCCTGTGTAAAACACTTAAGCCATATTATCACCTACATGATCACTCAATCATACATGGCAAATGGACTGCATTTACAAAACGCTTTTCCAGTGTCTTTGCGACTCATCAAAGCACTTTTTCGTATATAAGTCAGCATTCACTCATTAATACAGTGGTCCAGGCTACCATAAAAGGTGTAAACTGCTCAGGGAAACTTTCACACACATTCACACACCATGTCATCAGAAGCAACTTGGGGTGAAGTATACTGCCCAAGGACACATCGACATGTTGACTGCACGATCAAACACAGAGACTATCCAATTGATAGACTATCTCTCATACCTCACACAGCATCTGCCCATATCAGGCAGAAAACTTCACAGTGAACACAAGAGTGTATTCAGGATAATGTGTCATCTACACTCAAAGCTGGTCACTTTGCTCCAATTGCCCCTAGGCCAGGAGACAGTCACAGAACCCAGTCAAACTTGCTTTAACAGGTTAATGGAGGAAAAAGACGATGAGATCAGTTTCCCTTACTTAAAGGAATATTACACTCCCATAAAGTTGAGACTTGATATAGAAATGATATAATAAACAATGGCGATATAAAAATAGCTCTGATTTAATGCAGCAGAGGCTCACCTGCCTGTTAGTCCTAAGTATGGTTAAAGCTTAAAAAGACGTTGGATCTAAATCAACTTCATAGCTTGTCTCATAGATTCACCATAAATGCCTCACATCTTCAAACTTCAAATCTTCCGTCATTCTTTCTGTTATTAATGTGTACTTTCCTAAACCCAAGCGGTGATGATTACAGATTGTTATTTATTCTTACTCCTCAGCCACGTAAGACATTATGCAACTGTTACAAATATGAAATCACGTCAGCATCTGCTGCTAAACACACATTATTATGTGGAACACCTTTCAACTAAATGGCTGTATTTTTTAGCAAAAGGCTAAATAGAAAGGGGAATTTGTGTGTGTGTGTGTGTGTGTGTGTGTGTGTGTGTGTGTGTGTGTGTGTGTGTGTGTGTGTGTGTGTGTGTGTGTGTGTGTGTGTGTGTGTGTCAGTCATGTCACATTTCAGGCTTCTTGTGTTTTTACTGCAACAATGGCCACATTCGTGTGATTTAAATGTGTGAATCTGCCTCCCGGCTCTTATGTCAAAGGAAAATGTGATGTGACTCAGACCTTCTGTTCCTGCTTGCTTTGCTCTTGTATGCTATGGACACGTCGTAGGCCCCTTCGCACACACAGTGACACTGAAGCAGTGTGACAGCCATGGACACAAACACTCATACACATGCAGAATACCACTACTACCGCATCATCGTTTGTTATAGTAACCATGTCAAATCTAAATGCACAGTGTTGAGGGGTTTGTCCTGGGAAAGACTCTTTGACCACTCCCCTGAGCAGGAGCGAGCAAGGATAGGCTGAGCCTGTTGGAGATATTACTTCCAGGTCATGTGATCCTTTGTCAGAAACAAGCAGAAAGGGAACTTCCCCTAGCTTGCATTTTGATTCCTTTCCCCTTTTTTTTTAGCCTTGGTTTGAGTGTCAAATTCTGGTGTCTCAGGCTGACCCTGTCACATTTCCAGAGTAGTGTAGTGTAGGGTGTCCCCTTACTCTTTAGGAGGCTGACTCCAGATCAGATTAATTGATTCTTCAAAACCTTCTTGACCATTCATGGCTTTTTGTCTCATAGATTTCACACAGACATAAAAAAGACAACATTTTCAACCTCTCATCCCGCTCTGTTGTTATTGCTCTCCTGTTTCCATTAGTCTCCATTGTAATTTCGAGACATAGACATGAAATGACACATTGCAAATTACTTATTTTTATTAATCACTGACATTACATTTAATAAAGTCTGAAGCATCCGTCATAACATTAAAAGTAATTCACAGCCTTTTCCAGTTTGCCCTTGCTTCCAAACCGGCTTTCTTTTGTAATATACGTTATCTAAACCATCAATCATCACTTTATGACTATGGGGATTGCTACTGATGAGATTTGCTGCATATAAATACATTGTTAATCAGCAAATATGAATACACTATGCCGAAGATCACTTTAATCTTGAGCTTAGTATAACATTGTAATGTAACCTACAGTAGGACACAGTGTCAAGAGGGAGAGGGCAGTCCTGTTAGGACCCTGGCTTTCTCAAAGGGACAGGATGTGGACGCTGACACATAAACACCGGAAGGAAACACAAAGGAGCTGGAATTTCTGGATGAACGGATAAATCTAGATCCCTTCTGTTTTAATGACAAACCAGACATTTCTTTACATCCACCCCTACAATGGTAGCCTACATTAGGGCTGCACGATATATCGTGTCATGACGATAATCGCGTGGACGTGCGATTTAAAAAAAATGGTTTTACATTTTTATTTTTAGGACTTGCAATATTAAGTAGGCAAATTAACTCAAACACGTCACAATTATTTTGCTGCTTGTTACAAAAGGAAAACTTGCTCTCATGTCAGGGGTACTTGAGTTAGTGACATGCAGGCTCTGCATGCACAGCAAACCACCAATCACAATCAAATCTCCAAAGCAAACGGACCCGGTGATTAAAGGTAAAAACACTGAATGAAGTATTTCTCCAGGGCAGTTCGGCGCTGCTAACTGAGCTCGCTCAGCTTGTTGCTCTGATCCAGACGTCCGTGACTAAAATCCTTCATCCGGTTAAATATAGTTAGAAAAATACCAATTGTATAGCATTAAAGTTCAACAAAGGATGGTTTGTGGACAATTCCTGTATTTTTTCATATCGCAATATATATCGCAGGGGGGGGGAAATCGCAATGTCAGTTTTTTGTATGAGAAACCAATGTGATTTTGGAACATTGAACACCTATTCTAGTAGACTTCAACAATGGAGTTATGTATTAGTAGAAATGGCCATGACATGGGACCTTTAAGTGCTTATTCAGTCAGGTACATTTTTGGAAATCATCTCGAATGTGAGGCAGATTACCAACAAATATTGTGACTCATATTACAAAGTCTTAATTGAGATGCATAGGACATACATGATACATACAGGAGAAAAATTAATAAAAGCTTCACACGCTCTCCACAAATCCATAATATACACACATCAGAGCTGCATACTAACTCAAAGCTGTCATAGACTGTACACGGCCTCATTATAAAAGGGAAACAAATATTCAGAGTACAAAGTAGCATGATGTTAACAGTGAGAGCAATGAGGCCTGGAGGCATAAAGTGACCTGAATAGGAAGGGAAGGAAGTCTGCTGGACAATAGTTGCACAGTAATTGAGAATAGTGCGATGGATTGCTATTGTGGATCAGCAGGAGATCAGCAGTGCAGTAATGCCCCTCTTGGGGCTGTATTGATCTGCAAATGCCAAGTAGGTCATAGATATTTTTATTTGGGGCCAGTAAACGACTGCATTGAATTCTGAAAAATGGTGCTCCTGTAAAAATAAGAATGACCTTTGACAGATTTGATTTAATGTCTGTGATTCGATAATGGCTTTCTGCAGGGTTGAATGGATTTTGGACTTTCGAGGCCCCAGAGGATATTGTTACAGCTCTTCTGTTTTTCAGCAAGAAAACAGGAAATTCAGAGTGTCATCAGAGTATGCTCCAGACACTGTAAGAGCACTGAACTGAGAGCTTCCCGGCAATCGCTAAACCAAAAACGAAAGTGTACTTACGGCTTCGTAGTCAGCTAGCTCGAGCCTGGCCTTATTCTGCATGGTGCGCTTGCACAGGTAAATGGCTGGAGGGGAGGAAAGGGAGAGAGAGTGAGACATGAAAAGGGCAACAGAGTTAATCAGATGGGTTATCTGCTTTGCAGCTGCAAAATAAAGAAGGAACATTTCCAATGGATTTCTTTTTTTACTGAGGTCTCAGCTGTGTGAAGTACCACTAATGAATGTTTTGCTGGAGCAGGCAGCGGCGTGTTGCCTTCGGAAATAACAAGCCTTGAGTAAATGCCATGCAGACAGCCGGAGATGGTCATAGCAGCTCCTTTATTTTGTTTAGTTAATCTTATCCCGCAGGATTCTGTGTAGTGGGGGCTCCTCGAGGGCCAGGTACATTACAGGGAATGGCCCTCTGGATCAATACTCAGAGAGTGTCAACAACAGAACTACAGTGTGAGTTGTGTTTCAGAGAGACAGCTGAAGGCATTCGCGACAACTTCCAAGTTTGTCGAAAGCCTGAGAGCGTGTGTGACTCACCATAGTCTGTGTTCTCCGGCTCCCAGCAGTTTGAAGGCCAGAAGTAAGGAGACTGATGAAAACAGAATCAGAGTTTGTTTATTTACTCAAACAATCCAAATTACATTCTTTACTTGCCATAAGTGTCTAGATAAACAATAATATATTCTCCAATTTGAATGTTGGATTCTCAGTCCTCCCACCACCCACGCTCCCTCTGGACTTCCACACGCAAAGTGGAAAGACGCCTCATTGTTTGATGATGATCCTTGACGTCCGTGTGCTGCACATTAACTATCTGGGGAGCAATGGTAGCTATTTTCTCTCTATCCATATTTAATTGTCTGTTGCAACTGATATTACACATTCAAAGTTCATTCCCGATTCTATTAATAATAGATCACTCACATCCAACATGCATTCTTAATAACGGGGCAGAATTAGAAGTTGGTGGTATTCAACCACATATATCATTCCCACTATTACTCATAACGGTAATTAGCCTAAGAGCAGACGCTAACGCTGATAAATGTGCTTGTTTAAGTGTAACGGACAAAAAGGTTAACATGCACTCATCAGCGTTATAATTTGCAGAAAGGAGAGAGTTTAACTGTAAGCCTTCACTGCGTGCTCAAAAAAAAAGCTAATTTGTTATAAACAGAATACAGTTGTCATTAAATCTGGGTCTTCAGCCAGAATAGTATCTATTTATAGACCAGCAAACAAAACATCCCCCGTCACTACGCCTTAAAGCCCGGCCACGGATATTAGCCGATGCATTTCGTTTGCACCGTGGATTCTTTTTATGTTCTGATGACGTGGGCCTGTTGCATCACGACAACATCAGAGGGAATATTTTTAGCCCCCTCTGAATGAGCCAGTGTGACACATGCTGGCCTCTCTGCTCAGGCACAATAATGGCTTTTAATCCTGAGCAATAGAGGTGAGGATAAATGCATTCAGAGGTATATTGAGTGGGAGGAGTAGGGATCGGGGGGCTGGTGATGGTAAAAAAGTCCAGAGCCAGCGTGGAGCAAACACTGTGCTTTCCTCATCGGGGAGCCTGCTGAGTGTAGCTGGCCAGAATTAAGATCCTAATGTCCCGGTCACAGTATTGATTTTGAGTCACCGTGGAGCCCGTTAGCCGTCAGAGGGATCTGTCAAAGTTCATGCTGGATAGGATGTAGCAAAATAAAAATAATAAACACCCCTCTGAGAAGCTGCGCGGCAGCCTGTGGGCCCCGTTCTGCGGGCCACATCCTGCTCTGACGCAGCGTCCAGCAGGCATACACAATATTGACCTTGGTGGGGTGAGTAATAGGCTTAGCAAGGCTTGGTATCATTAGCATCAAGCTATAAACACATCCCTCTTGATAAACTACCATCATCTGATAATTGGATATTTAAAAGGCCTCCTTACACATACCAAGGGTTTCCCCACGGTGAGTGTTCCCGTACCTGAAAGCGATAAAGGGTTCCATCATCTTTAAGGGTCAGGACATGGTCAGAGATGGGGAAGATGTAGCCATTGGCAGCGACCAAACTCCCGAGGTGGATGGCTTCAGCTGTTGACATGAGAGAAAAGCACACAGATAGGAGGAAGTGGGGGGGTGTTCAAATTGCTTTCCTCTTCAATTGAGCTCTATTGTGCTCGCATGTTATGACAAATTTCTCAGCGGGCTTACCTATGTCCTCAATGGAGAGGTTTTTCATCAGCCATGCGACAATGTCCGCTCCTGTATTCAAATAATCAGTGAGAAGAAGTGACATCACAGTCCTACATGTGCAGTAGTTTCGACAAAAGCAGCAATCCAAAAACACAAATGAGCTTCGAGGAAGTCTTTGTGATCCGTCCCTGTTCAAGGCCGTGAGTGGAAGCTGTCTAAATGTAACATGATGTTCACAGGTTGGTAGTCCTGTCTCTCTCTGCTCCTGGACAGCACGATGTTTGGCCGGATAGCTGTGCTTTGGCAGAGGCTATTGAGCAAGATAGTGCAGCCATTGGGCGTGGGGGGAGAAATGTGTAGCAGTGACTCCGAAACAACCTTTGGGAGAGCGGGAGCGACCTCGTCGTCCAACAATGGTGACTCATGTCATACACAAGCATACACATACACCAACACATGAAGGAGTACAGGGCATTCACACAGATGGACACAGGCGAGAGGAGAAGGAGAAGTGTGACAAGGGCAGTCTCACACCACAGGCCGTTTCCTCAGTGGCAGCCATTTAAATTAGCCCAAAAGGTAATATTTGCTTTTCTGATCCTGAACAAAACACACACACACACACACCTACATCAATTATATCAAGTAGGTAAGTAAGGCAAACACTAATTTAGGAAGAAATACAAGATACTGCAGCATATGTTGATGTGGTATCACACGCAGCCACATACAGGACTGTCTCAGAAAATTAGAATATTGTGATAAAGTTCTTTATTTTCTGTAATGCAATTAAAAAAACAAAAATGTCATACATTCTGGATTCATTACAAATCAACTGAAATATTGCAAGCCTTTTATTATTTTAATATTGCTGATTATGGCATACAGCTTAAGAAAACTCAAAAATCCTATCTCAAAAAATTAGAATAGTTCCTCAGACCAAGTAAAAAAAAAAGATTTATAACAGCAAAACACAATCAAACATTTGAAAATGTCCATTAATGCACTCAGTACTTGGTTGGGAATCCTTTTGCACGGATTACTGCATCAATGCGGCGTGG